GTGTATCTCAACTTTCTGAATGTTTGGCCAGGACTTGTACACCAAATCTGCGCCAGCTGAAGAGTCACATGAATCTCTAACAAGGAGCAACACGTTGGCGTAGGCCTCACTCGCAACATGCTGCACTAGTGACACATTCCATTCTGCGGTTGGATCATCCTGACAGTCAAGGCCTGGCCATTTAAGACCACGCCGATTATCTGTGAGGCCAAAGTAGCCATGCACGTGAACTGGCAAACCGGTCTTGGAGTCAGCGTCTGGTGGAAGTGGTAAGAAGCAGAAGATTCTTCCAGGTCTTGATGAGAGAGCTTGAAGTGTGACTGCATTCACTGGTGTGGCAAAGGCCACCCAAGGCAGGAGACCTAACTCTAGGGACAATTTTTTGAGAGTTGAATTTCGAGCATCAACCTGGTGGTACACAAGCCATTTATTTTCCACCTCTCCTCCTCCATCAGTCTTTTCGAGGACATGCAAATCTAAAGAAAGATTTATGTTTTCAATTTGCCCGTTGCTCAGCCTTCTCAAATAATTAAAAAAATTTCTCTTCTTGTCTCTTACTTCTTGCCGGCAGCTGTCACTCAGTCGAACTGTAAAGACATGTCTTTGAATGCCTCTCTCATCAGTTTCAAACAGAGCAATTTCTTCAATATTTTTCAAGAAGAGCAGAATGACAGGTGCTTCCTCTTTGAGGGCTTGAAATAATCTGCCGACTTTTTCCTTACTGTAAACCTTTTCGGATAAGTCTGACGGTGCTCTTCGCAGCGGAAAACGAAACAAAGTTCCATTGTAAAATTGAGTCGAAATTTTGCAGTCTAAGACATTCTCGTACGGCTTGAACTGGTCTTCGTGATTTTCAAGGAGTTCATCCTCAAGGGAAAATTGCTGTCCCGTTTCCCCTCTACCAAAGTGTATTTCGTGAGGATCAAGAAATACAATAGAATCTCCACTCACGATGCTGGGCAGATCTGAATCATGTGATAAGAAGTAACCAGTTTAGTAAATATAATTGTCTAATTACTAAGTGCAGATACCCAATCTATTTCAACACGTACATTTAAAGGATGTGCAGTTGCTAAGTTGAACGGATGATTTTAGAACGTAACTTGTTATGATTTTTTTTCTACAAACAGGATAAAATTTCTCGGCAAGGATTTCCGCTCTTCTGTTCCCAGCAAGTTTCTTTTTGCATTGCAATCCGAGAATTTCAATGATCTGTTACGATGTTACTTGGCAATGATTTTTTGTCACCCCTAAAGAAACTTACCAGTCAAATGGTAAACAGAATTGAAGCCAATTCCAAATCTACCAACTTTTAAAGGGTCCTCCTTCTTATTGCTATCCATTAGTTTCTGCAAGTTTTCCCAGTCACTTTCCTCGAACAAAGCATTGTTCTGAGCATATAAAGCAGGGCCCTGGAACTGAGAAAGACTGGGTGCGACAAGCGAGTTCCCTCCGTAAAAGCCCTGACGCGAATCAAGGAGAAAGGACACTTTTGTGGCGCCTGCGTCATCTGCATTCTGAATAATTTCCTGCACGAAAAAAGACAATATGACCTAGGTTTCAAATAACGACGAGGTTAACAGGAAGGAAATAAAAATCTTTGTACTATCTTTTATTTATGTACCACAACATTTATTTTATGTTGACTCGTTAGCACATGTTTCTCATGTGTGACCGCTTGTGTTGTAATGAAATTATCACCAACTCATTATTGTTGAATCGACAGTAAGGAGAGTTTTTGTCATTTTTCAGGAAAACAAAACAAAGGGAAACGAAACAAGAACATTTAATAGCACTGATTTAAAAGGGTCCCATGTATCTCTGCTTAGAACATCAAATATGAATTATTTCACCCTCATGCAAAAATGTAGGCGGTAACAGACATATGACTGTTGTATTCTCCTTTCAGAGGGAAATAAGTAGCCCTCGGTCGCGATTCACGTAAGGTTTCGGTTACTCTTATTGAATTAATAAATTCGTCAATCGATCATTATTGCGGAAGACCATTCTTCCTCCTCACACTGTACTCAATAATTTTGAACAATCCATTACTGCTGATGTTTTCCCAGTCCAGGATTACCCTCTATTCATTCAGTTAATCTATAGAAACGAAGAATTAATCTTGCTCTTTTAAACCGGGTTTACTGTACAAGTTTTTTCTGATCTGATACAATGCTAAGAGAAGCATCATCATTCATACCTTTAAGATTTGTCCTCCATCTGGATATCTTTTCAAGATACTTTTCAAAATGTGGGTCAGTGGAGGTCTCCTTTGGCCATAGGACCTTCCTGTTATGGCAAAGAAACAAAACCGTCGCAAGAATTAGCAAAACGAAACTAGTTAGCTCAAGAGCATAACAAGGTAATTTAGTGTTATCAACTGAGTTGATAACTTAAATTGGCCACTGAAAAGAGTTTAAAAGCGGACGTTTCGAGCTTTAGCCCTTCGTCAGAGCGATTTGAGGAATTGTGGGTTGTGTGTGTTTATATCCTGCTCAAGAGTAATTGCCTACAAACATAATATGACCTCTCAATCGAGCCAAATTGTAAACTGAATTCTTGAATCATTTTGTTTTCTGTCTTTTATGTTCTTTCTTAAAATTCTTAACTTGACGTGGATGAAAAGGTTAAATTCTGACAGCATCCCGAAGTTTGTTTGTGTCTTAAGATCACGAACTTTCCGCTATTTGTTAAAGTTCCTTCAACGGTACCGGCAAAGGATATGTACGTTCTAAAGTGAATTCGTTCAGAAACTCACTTCGTAGTCAAAATTTCAGTTCCTCGTGAGACCCAATATCTTAATGTTAACGTGAGCCAAAAAGAAAAAACAACCTTCAGCTTCGAAGTGTTTCACATATTTCATGAGCAAAGACTTTCCCCCCCCCCCCCAATTTATGTCTTAGCTTTATCTCACTGCACTAAGAATACATGTCGTTTTCTTACAAAACTCAGCCCATTTACGATGCTGATATTTAAAAGATACGGAAGAAAAATATCGACTTTCCTAGAAAAAGAACTTGTTCTCTTGGTGGATCACTCATTATCACGAGACAATGGCACACTTGCTGAACTGCCTGCTAGTTAGCAGTACACACAAACCTGCCTCGATTACTTCAAATTTCCAAGCAATGGGTGAAAGCAAAATCTTCCTTAGAACACTGCACTAGAAATATAACCCGTGACATTATAAGCATCTCAGCTTATGCAGCGGAAATAGCAACACCTTTTCTAGGAATTTCCAAATTTTAGTCCGACAATAAATTGATCGAGGCAGCTCCACAGCATTCCGACCACAATGTGGTTGCGTTATTTCTGAGAAAGAATATTTTCAGACGTTAATTATGACAAAATTTCGCTGCCTTTTCTCTTGCTCCCTCGAACAATTGAATGACAAAAAATTTTGACCTATTGACAATATGCAATTAGTTTTAAACAATCTTTACCTTAGGCGCTTCACTTGATCTTCAGCCGATGTAAACATACTTCCGTTGTGTTCCGCAGTGTTCGCTGTTTCAGGTTAGCTATTTCCCAAAATTTGAGTTGGATCGCATGGCCTCTACTGATTAGAAAGACTTACCTGCGAACACTTATTCTCTGCTTGTCGTCAATACAAAGAATGTGTTTGCTGTGAGTAGTTTGCTTAAAACAGGGCACTTTGCTCGACTTACTTTGCTCAGAATTACTGTCTATCGGCTGTGCTTCTTGCCTGGACTCTTGATTAGCCTCTACCAAGCTCCTTAATTTAATGTTTTCCTGTTCGAGTTTTGAAATCCTCTCTGAAGAAACAAAGAGAAAAAACCTTTTTAGTGGAGTCGATATTTAGTGCAGAACATTCTATATAATTTTTTCTTGGTTATTCCTTTGGGAAATAGGGAATTCGAAATGAAATACAAAATTACGGTCGAACCTGTATTAAGCGGCACCACATTAAGCGGTCACCCTTCAAAACGGTCGAAATTTTTACCAAATCAACAAAAATATGACAGAGCAACAGAGCAGTGGGGATCAGTTTTGTCAAATCTCCATCTGTTTTTTAGGAAAGCAAGCTGTCCGTTCGTTTGACATAAACAAGAGTCCGATATAACACTCTCCCATTAGCAGACAGCCACTTTATTTTTCTTTAGCTTTTCTTTGGTGTCTACTTGTGGGAATAATTCTCGTAAGTGGTCATTTCTACTAACGGACACTTTTTCAATACCTAAGGTTGTCTGCTTTCGAGAGAGTTGACTGTATCGTGAAAAATTGTCACCCGATTCAATTCTAGAAAGTCATCTTTTTGTGTATGCAACAGTTTTCTTGGCCACAAGTCGTGCGACACAAAATTAGCTCGCATACGAGGCAGACAACCAGACAGCCTTTTGTTTCTCATTCCCGGAGAGGAGCGTCCTTGATCCAAAGCGTCGACAACGATTTCTGTTGGATCGGAATTCTCCTCAGCAAACCATGGCTCTCATTTTTGCAGAGCTATGTCTATTGAAGATGATGTAAGGGCATAACATAATGCGGAGAGTACCTGAACAATGAAGGGTTCAAGCTGCCCTCTCTGTTGAGGCCTGAGCATCGGTGCTATACAAATCCCAAACTGCCTCGTAAAAATTTAACCATCTTTGAGGTGGCTGGATACAAGGCATCATGTTAAATATCGTTACGTTACCTGACTCGATAGATCCCTCGGAAATAGCCTTTGTGATTGTAGCTTGAAAGGCGCTTTGAATTTCGCTCATGTCTTCCGCTCCTTTTGATAATTAAAATTAAGAAAATGGGAAAACAAATCAAATAGAAAAGTAGTAAGAACTATTTTTTAGTTGATTCAATTTTCGGGTCTAATTCTTCACCTCCGTTTACTTTCTTAAGTTCACTATACTCGTTAATTGCTGCATCTGATCAAAGACCATTAAGACCCTTAGCTTGCTCTAGATAGTGAAAAATACATAACTGAGCTTAATTATTTGCAAATCACCGTCCATAATTCCTTTTCGGTGACGAATCAATAATAACTATTAAAAAGCTTTGACTTCAATGTTGGCAAGCTCGCAATAATCACCTGAGCTCGCCTCTAACAGCTTTTTCCCTTTCTGATACTGATCCTCGGAAATAAAGGTCTTCAGCTTCAGCTCAGTGAGACCAAGTTTCGCCAAAACCTGTGGTGTTATCAGCATTTCCTGGGCAACTGAATTAAGATGACCACTGCGATAATCTTCCCACACTCCTTCAAGGACTTGCAATGAACTGCATTCAACTGTTATATGCCAGCTCCCTACCTCGTTGTTACGCACTCGAAGACGAAGTTTATACCATAAGTATCGTAAGAATAAATCAACTGATTCTTTAAATGATAAAATTACGTTCCAAACAGTTATGTCTGGTGGATTATCTGGTTCAGGGTCATCAGCTCCCGCTGCTTGTTCCATCTGAGGTAATAGTAGATTGGGTGCAAGGAAAGTCGGTTCGGATCCAGCGGCTTGATGATATTCAGCTACGTTCATCTGTATGACTGATAGGAAAAAATATATTAACCTACATTTGAACTCAAAAAAGAGCACTATTGGTGTTTTGTAAATTTATTTTTAAATCAAATATACATGTTCAAAGTAATTAAATGAGGATCTTCGGGAAAAATGGCAACATTGGATTAACAGTAAAGGGAACTGAGGATAATGATTCCATATTTTTGTCTGATGGAGACTTAAAGTTACTCTTTTACTGACCTACGAACGCGGGTTGTCGAGACTTCAGTTCCTCTCTAAGCTTTACCAATTCATCTTTAACATCCACCAATTCATCTTTAACATCCATATCTTGCTTATACCAGGTCTCTAGCTCTTTAATGCATCGTTCCTCATCTGGCGTCAAAGGATTACGAAGAAGATCATAAATGGACTTCTCCCACTCCTCTCTCTTTGCAGGACTAATATTTGTCGCAATTCTTAACAGAGCCTCACTAATTTTCTTCCAGAGAGGAATAAAATCGATGTCAGATATTTCCATAGTGGGATTGTGATAAATCTCATTTCGATAATATTTTATTCGCACTAAATCTGCCACCAGAGTGTGGTCTGAGTCGTTTGGTAAATCATCCCATCCTCTCGGTCCAGCGGGAGGGATCAGGCCGCAAATTGTTCTGAATAACTTGAAGATTAATGTGATGTCAAAATCGTTGGACTCGCCATACACCCCTGGGGATGGGTACAGACAAACCATCTCTGGCTGGGTAAGTCGTGCTCCTCTCAGCTGTGCCGGCATGGCAGGATGAGCGAGTCTCAAAGGGAGATCAGCTGGCGAGTGAATGGAGTCAAATGTCTCACGCAAAAGATTCACACCGCCACGCATCAGTAATCGTGCCAGGCGATGGAAATTTGCTTTAGGACTTGTCGATCGTAGGGCTTCTTCTGCCATGTTATAAATACTAGTTCTAAAATCGGGAATGAATATGATAAAAAAGTTGACAAATGTGGCAAAACCTTGAAGAAATTGATAATTATTGAATCAGCTGCAAAAGTTAATAGTGCTATATATAGAGAGAATAATACATGGGCGCGCGTAGATATGGAATTTCTCTTCGAGTGTTTAACTCGATAGCTCACGAGTGAGCGCAGCGAACGAGTGAACTATCGAGTTAAACACTCGAAGAGAAGTTCCATATCTACAAGCAACCATGTATTATTTTGTTTATCATATAAATACAATAGCCCTTTACTGGGAAGAAAAGCCGACTTCATTAATGAATGAAAATAAATGAATCGACGATCCTCGAAGAACAATTGTAGAGTGCGTTGGCGCTGACTGTTAAGATGGAAAAATGCGTTGAATCATGATTACAAAAACAACAATGGTCGTAATTTTCAATTTACAAAATTCTTATTTATTGACTTTGTCCTTACCGACAGAAGAAGTCTTTCAGGTAAACGGCCAAAATTGGCTGGCGGCAAATCTTCAAGTTGTCGATTTTCATTCTCAGACGAGAGAAATGCTAACACCAAAGCCAATGACTACGCAACTTTCGGTTTTTTCTTATAGTATATTGGTTTTCTTCCCTTTCTAGGAAAGTTTGAACCTCATTGTCTGCCAGCAATACGGATTTTTTAATGTTTTAGCCGCCATAATTCGAGAAAGCTCCGACAAACAATTTGTATTGAGAATCGTGAAGGCTTTGCCGTTCACTCATCAAACTGACCGAGTGGCGCCAAAGGCGAGTTACGTGTCAGTAGCTGATTGGCTATGTCAACACGTGTGAAAACGTGCGTCATTACGACTTTTCTCAGTGCCGGAAATCTCTGTATAACACCGCAGTTTATGTGATAAATATATATATATATATACACACACCCTTTTTCAAAAACGTTGCAATTTGAATATGTACATGAAATATATATACAAAAGGTGTATGTATTTCTCAGGCTTGTAGGGATGAAAGTATAGTCTCTTTGTTTTTTTCCCTACCTCAATATATAGTGCATTCTACTTCTACGTATCAAGCACCGTACAACGAAATAATCAAAA